CTCCATCAAGGAGCTTGGCTTCGAGAAGGCCAAGCAGATGGCCATCGCACACCGGCGGGCCATGGAGTCAAGGCACTACACGTTTGTCGGCAAGGGTAGCAGCAGAGCAGCCCGCCGTAGATGATAGTGAGGAGGAGCGTCCCAAGAGGAAGAAGAGGAGGGGAGAGTGAGGGCAGCCCATGATGTTGATAGATTGGTTGGATAGGTTGTACAGAGACACTACTACATTATCGCTGTTGATATACTGGTCTTGTGCACACACTCGATCTCATGTCAACAAGAAATACATCGCGATGCCGGCTCTGCAGGACCTGCAGAAAGCAGAAATTAATCATCAACATTGGACTGTAGAGCTTCTACAGTACTCGCTTCATTTAGCAATGAGCGAGCGCCAGCATGTACTGAAAGCAAGAGAAAGAACATCCTGTATGAAACAACGTCATTCCTGTCCAAGCCTAACCTCCGGACATCATCGTAGCCGGGTCAATCAAGCCTGAAAAAAGGCCATGGTACCCGAGCCCCTCTTCTATATGCTGCATACCATCTTCGATCTTGTTTAGGATCATTTTGGCGACCTTGACGAAGACCTCCTCCACTCCCTCGCCGGTCAGAGCACTCGTCTCGAGAAACAAAATCTCTGAGAACGGCATGAGGAATGCAGACAGTCATGTGAACCATGGAGGACACACCATTCTCCTGCGCGCATCTTGACGCTTCGAGAAAAGTGACAGCTCTCTTGTCCTTCAAGTCACTTTTATTGCCTACTCAGACGAACGGGTTGTCACGTTGGCAGAGCTTCGCACGAGTATCATGTGATGTTTCCCACCGACGGCGATGATGGATATGTCTGCCCTTGCCAGAGTACGGGCATCAGCTAGCCAATTGATCAGATGATGATAGGTATCCCGGCTGATTGATGCACAGACACACGCGAGCAATCCCGCATTCTTCCACTCTCCTCACTTGGTGATGTCATAGACGATCAGTGCTCCAGCAGCGCCTCGATAGTAGCTCCTAGTCACACTCCGATACCTCTCCTGCCCTGCAGTGTCCCATATCTGCAGCTTGACTCGCTTCCCGCTCACGTTGATGATCTTCGAGCCGAATTCCACGCCTATCGTGTGCGATGAACCCTTCTTGACTACACCCAGCACACATTCACAGCTGTGCAGCTTTGGCGACAGCCATACATCTTACATTTATTCTCGATCAGGCTTGTCAGAATGCACGACTTGCTGAATCAAAGAGAAGGCCAGTGTGCAGTCAGATTTCGTTTTTCTGTTCTCGGCGTGTGTGTAGCCAAACCCGACAGCTGAGTCACCAATCAGGATGAATTTGAACAGATAGTCGTAAGCGTCCATGTGAGTGCTCTGGGGTAGGATATCTATGCATCATCCCATCATGCTCACGATCTGGGCTAGGGCCCGTAGGAATATCTGTTCAACTTCATTGTTCTCGAAGAGGGTGAGGAAGAGGAGGGAGGGGAGGGGGGCCATCGATTTTGTGTGTAAAAGTTAGACAAGTCACACTGCTAGGTGTTTTGCTTGCCCACTCAGAGTGATGGTGAGCTGTAAGAAAGAAACAAACATGCATTAATCCATTCGTCCATCTGAAACACATTCTCACGAGAAACAGACTCCTCATTGAAACAGACTCGAGAATAGCCAGGAAGTGAATGAATGAGTGAATGAATGAGCGGGGGGACAAAACGATTTCTCCCTTTTGCCTGCTTTGCTATGAATATCGATATGATATATGAATCGAGTGGGGAGACCATGTCCTTACCATAGCACCTTCCTACAGGACATTCTGAAAAGGGACAACAGGCAACTTTGTACAAACCGCTGGGTCCTGACAGACGAGATTGAGAGAACGGACGCCAGAGTAGCTCGTCGAATACCGCCAGGCGCGGAGACTGTTCCCAGTGTCGGGACAAAGCTTGTTGGTTTCCCTGATGATGAGGATCCAGGACACAGGCAGTAAAGAGTAAGGTAACGTGAGTGGAGTGCACGTGACAGTAGAGATGCTTCTCCCCCGCCCTCTAGCATCTCTTCTTGTCCAGCCCTTCTGAAATACGTACTCAACCTCACAAGTTGCAAGTTGCAACCTGACTCGACCTCAAGCGACAAAAATCAAACTGTGTATATTTGTTGCCCGCAGCACAGTCTCATATGTGTCGTGGCACGAGGAGTCGGAGTCCTGGTGGCTTCATGGTATGAGGGCGGCGAGCAGAAGCACGAGTACTTCCTCGTCGAGGAGCACGGCTTCGACGAGGCCAAGGTAACCACTGAAGTGAAAACGCGCTTCATGCTCTCTCTTGTCAGCGTCATGATGCACCTGTATGTATGTGTGTGTATGTCAGGCGTTGGCTGAGCCGCACCGTGTCGAGATGAAGCGTAGCGGGAGGGTGTATGTGAAAAGGTGTGAGCGGCGGAGCGGCGTCAAGGGCATCAGCTACGACAAGAGCAGGCACAGGCGGGCCATATGGCAGGAGGGTGGCAGGACAAAGAGCAGGGCGTTTCCCATGATGTGTGTCTTGCACCACTGAGTTCTCTCGCGTGGAAAGGTGGTGCCGATGACTGTACGTTCCGGATGGAAATTTACGTCAGGCGAGGCTTTTCTCAGTGACCCAATCTAGATGGTGTTCTTGATTTGTGTTGCTGTCCTCCTTGGAAGACTTCTTTCTCCCGCTGCCATTCATCTGAGCCATTCGACTGCGTCCACCGTTGAACCACGACGCGCTGTTATTCTGGAAGCAGCTCCCTTACGTCCCCAGCGCTTCCCAGAAACGACACAGGTATTCGTCGCCCCTCTGATCCGAGGGCTCTGCTGCCATGCATGCCTTTTCCCTTTGCACGACTGAACAAGGGCGCAGACTTCGAACAAAAGTCTACCGCTACCGCTTTGCGCAAAGTTTGTCGAGGGCGACGTACCACCGGTTGACGCTCTGTTAACCTCGTTAGATCGTGAGGTAACGTGCCACTTGTGTTTATCCTTTACCACATCAAACCTCTTGCATGCAAATATGGTGAAGGTCTACGGCGAAATGAAGCGCATTCTCGCGGACTCGGGCCCCATTGAAGGTAAGAGGGGTGTTGCAACAGCTACACAACAGGTGTGAAATTGTTGCCTTCAGGTGGAACTTATACACATGCGCCGCAAGTTAAGATGTGAGCCACGAGGGTCACAGCCAACAAACCAGCCTTGGATTGAGCTGCGCACAGGTACATGAACTTCGCATCGATTTCGTCTGTGAATACGATTTGTGAGACCGGTACGTACACACGTAATTTGATTCACTGATGCAAGCCGCTTGCGGACGTAGGCTTCAACGGCGGCCATTCCAGCTTCATCATGTGCAAGCACTTTGACGGGTATCGATAGGCTTTGGCGCTTTGGCTTTGGTATCTGTCAGGCTGAACAGTAACCCGAAAGCCAGGGTAATCTCTTTTGATCTGTGCAAGCACGAGTACGTAGCCAAGGTGGCACAACTCTTTTCAAGGCGTTACGGCGGGCGTTTTTCGCTCATCTGTGGAAACTCTCGAATAACGCTTCCGAAATTCCATGCTCAAGAACCACATGTCGGATGCGACCTGATGCTTGTCGATGGAGGTGAGCAACTCCCCTGACCACACGAGTGTGGTGATCTAAATCTGTTCAATGTTCTACAGGTCGCCTGCTCAAGACTGCGATTCAAGATCTGCTAAACTTCAGGGAAATGGCGTCTCCGAGAAATATCCTTATTCTTGACGACTGCCCTGGGTATGCCATGTGACGCACAAACAATGCATCTTTTTTATGAATCATCAGGTCGGCTGGAAGATGCGGAGGTAAGTCATGTGAGGTAAGAATGTGAGCCACTATCTTGCTGTGGCCGCAGCTTGGATGGAAATGCGTTCTCGGAATCAGACAAAGGAGGATTTCAAGTGTCTTTTGACGCGAGATAGTGATAGAGAGAACGGGCTCATTGTTGGATCAATCGTTGTTGGAGGGGGACGAGTGAGTGAGGGATCTTTGTAGTCGTCGTTCGTTCATGTGCATAAACGAACAAGAACCTCCGACGTTCTGTCAAATAGTAGCACGCCAAGGAAATGATATTCGTCGTTGTAACTATACACTCTAACACCATCATGGGCTACAATAAACAACCCTCACTCACTCCCCTCCTCCTCTTCTTCCTCACTCCCCTCCTCATCGTCTACAGCGGGCTGCTCAGACTCTGCCCCCTTGTCGACAAATGTGTAGTGCAGCCTCTCCATGGCCTGCCGGTGTGCGATGGCCTCCTGCTTGGCCTCCTCGAAGTGACAAACACCCATTGTTGACCTTTGTATTCCTTTTCGCACCCTGCCTCCCTCACTTGTGGTCCGCTGTCCTTCGTCATGGTAACAAAGAGCACAGGCGGAAAAGAATCCTGAAGGGCCATACAGTGTCTCCTTTATCTAGCGAACAGGAGAGATGGCCATTTCTTGACCATGGCATTGACAGACAGCATGCATCACATCACGCAAGGGCGCCCTCATCAACGTCTTCTTCCCATACGAACCCATCGATTCTCATCCATGTATCCATCCATACACTTGGAATTCCTTATCACGTGCAATGGACTTTTTCTCATGATAAAACAGACTTCTTGCCAGCGTCAGGCAAGCCTTGAGCCCTTACAGGCCCTCTTGATCCGAATGCGACGCATTTGCAGTGAAGTGCTTGTGCGAAGAAAAGACGCGAGCACAAAACACTTTGCCATTCCATCAGTCGAGACACATAAGTGTGTGCTTGCTTGCATGTCAGTCAATCAATGAATTGATTCCATTCATTGATTCAGTGAATCACTGCATCACTACAGACAACTCCCTCGGTTGCTTCGCTTGGGAGACGGCCGTGATCTTGGCCTGACTGGCCACGAGGTGGCTGGCCATGGGTGGTTCACATCACCCATACATGGTCAATATAGCCGGCCACCCTATATAGAAACACCCACCACCCTTCCGGTCGGCTCTTCCGGCGGTAGAGCCGACCTGGGAGTCCCAACCATACATATGTACAGTATAGAGTCTCCATCATCAGTGTCCACCTAGGGGACTCCCCGGTCGGCTCTACCGCCGGAAGAGCCGACCGGAAGGGTGGTGGGTGTTTCTATATAGGGTGGCCGGCTATATTGACCATGTATGGGTGATGTGAACCACCCATGGCCAGCCACCTCGTGGCCAGTCAGGCCAGGATCACGGCCGTCTCCCAAGCGAAGCAACCGAGGGAGTTGTCTGTAGTGATGCAGTGATTCACTGAATGAATCAATGAATGACAATGACCCATGATTGATTGATTTATTGCTTGACTGACATGCAAGCACACGCTCGTGTGAGTCGAGAATGCAAGGTTGACAGAGTGATTCGTTCGTTCATGCCTTATCCAGCGGCCCGTCCCATTGCAGAATACTATCATTACACTGATGTGTGAGACCTCTAGAGAGGAGCAGAGAGATCACAGGAGTGCACGCCTGAAGTCTGTTTTCACCTGAGAAAAAGTCCGTTTCGCATGATAACGAATTTTGGAGAAGGAGGAGTGGAAGGCTCGGGGATTCAGTCATGTGTCTGGATGGATTCGCTCTCGCTTGTCTATCGCCCTCGCGCGTGCGACTAGCTTCTGTCTGCGTGGGGGAGGGAGGGAGGGTTTGCGGGACTGGGGTGTGCTGATGGGGCGGGGATTGATCCCTCCTCCCCTGGAGTGTTTGACTCTGCGTGCTCATGGGACTGTATTTGTATGAGTATCACGGACACACAGACGAGTGTTACGGTTAATGCAAGTTGACTCCCTGTCTGGCTGTTTGTCTGTATGAATTGTGTATGCATGTCTCTATCTGTTGTCTGTAATCTTATGTCTGTCTTCTGTGTGCGTGCGGTGTGTAAGTGTGAAGGCAAATGGACTGTGTCGACCATACAAACGAGTGTTATCCAGTTTGATGTTTGGAGGACATTGGTTTGCGAGAAGAACATTTATCCCTTACATTCAAAAAAACAGACAGCGAGCTTAGCTCGCATCGAACGCGGAAACCCCAATATTTCAAAAATTTCTCCTTTCATTTTTGGCGGCTTTTAAGTTGTGTTCCTTGTTGTTGGAACTTTTGTTAAATATTTTTCTGCACACGTATTTAATTGTATTGCGGAGGCTTCCACGGGTTGGAGCCCCGTTTTGGGGGGGAGGGGGCGCCGAGAACGCGTCCCGCCTGTATGAGCGCCTTGCGCGAGTCAACACGACAAGCCGGCGCACCATTGTAAGACTAGTGCAAGAGCAGAGAATTTTTCGCACACGAATTTGCTTAAAAGACGGAAATCTAAGTTCCGAACACGCACTCGTGTGAGCAACGCCGTGTCATTGCAGATTGGCAAGGTGATTCCCGCACTTCCCATTGCAAAATCACGGACATGACACCCATGTGAGACCTTCCATTAGAACGCGCGCAGAAATCCGTTTCAGAAACAGCATACAGAGAAAGAAGGAAAAAAAAAAACAAAACAAAACAAGCAAAGAAAAGCTAAAACACACAACACAGAAAACAAACAAACAAACATCCATACACACATCCATCCATCCATCCATCCAATCATCCATCCAGGCAGACAGGAAGACAGGCAGACAGTCAGTCGCACGCACCCATCGACGGTCACGCAACACATCCATCGAAATACACATGGGCACGAGCAAGACAAACACTTTGTGCAAACATTCATGAACACACATCTCGGCTGCACACACACGCGGAGGCGGTGGTCACGGGAATGCGGGCAAACCCACATACAGGTCGCATCACATCCATTCATTCCAGACGGTCGATACACATCCATTCATTCCATGTATACGTCCTCCTGTCTGCTCTTCCTTCTCGTTCGTACGCACCTTGTCGAAGGGATAGACGGGACTCGCGACGACACACATCGAGATGTCCACTTCGCATCATGTCAATGCAATGCTACAACTACTCGACCCTCCCCCACCCGCCGACGTACCGATGCCTTCTTACCTCCCGGCTGTCTTTATGGCTTACTCGATGACTGATGGCTGAAAAACAATCAATGACAGGTCCATCCATGCATCCATCCACACATTCACACACACATATCATGACCCCCTCGAGCATTATATCTATACAGAACGTCACGGCGAGTCGGCACGCACATGTCTGTCTCAGGGAGCACGCGGATCGTGTCGAGTCGGTCGGGGCCGTATAATGTCGGTATTCTACGTGAGGGGCTGGCTCTAGAAGTCTTCGAAACTGTTGGTCGATGAATGTGTTTGCACAAGTCAGACTCCTGCCGCGGTGTCAAATCGCTGACCACGAAGAAAAAGCTTTCACTTTGTACCATTTTCATCCATTTCATGAGACACTGCCGACTCGGCGACGGCCTGCAGGGATGCCGATGTGGCCTCGGTCTGCAGGTCGGCGTCAGACGTGACGGCTGGCGGGCTTCAAAATCGTCGTCGTCATCGTCGTCATCCTCCCCCTCCTCGCCCTCAAGCGGCTTCGACTCTCTCCTGCACAACCAGAAAGAGAGATGAGAGAATGAGCGGTCGTGTGATGGTATGCGTGTGGATGGACAGGTGTTAGATTGTACAGACGCCACACACACATTTCACTCTGCCAAGCCATTTGCCAGCATTTTGCCTGGCAGAAAAGCATTTCAGTGAAATGCTTTCATTTGACAGAACAGAGTGAAATTGACATTTCATCGACAGAACAGTGAAAAATTTGGCAGAGTGAAATGCTTGCCATTTGCCAGCTTGGCCACCGCTGGCAAATGTCTCTAAGTGACATCATGTCATAAGTGAAGCTTGTCAAAGTGACATCATGTCATGGCATCAGAGTGTATTGCATTTTCAACGATCTTGTACCTAACATGTCTCAAAGTGACTTCATCGAATTTCTGCAGAAGGCCGGACAGTTCCGCCTTCAGAGTGCCAGGAGAAGCCACACCAGGCTTCTGAAGACCTTCGCTGAGGAGTCCTGACAGAAGATGGGCAAGGGAGCACAGTGTGTGGTACTTAGGCCCATATGTCACCTGTTTGCACAATCTGCAGTCGATGGTGAAGGATCTGGAAAGCTGAGGCCTGAGGCATCAACATGGCAAGACCTGAACACAATAGGGTGAACAGGTCGTCGAGCAGAGTAGAACGAGCAGCTCCTTTACCCATGAGAGCTTTTAGCAGGGTATGGTGTGATCTCGGGTCGAGGAGATGAAGACGCATTCCTGCACAGGACGATCACATTAAACACCCGCTTGTTGGTTGTATTTGGCTCGTACGTGCGAAGATGGGTGACTCCATTAGGTGTACCAACTGATCAAGTTGGACGAGAAACTCTACAGATGGCTCGAAAGTGGCACTGCATCGCCAGTCAAGGGAGATTCTTTGGATACCCGTATGGCAAATTGACTTTGCGCTTACAACCGTCGGACAAGTTCAAAAGCCATGTCGTACTCTTGTACCTGATTCTCACGTCCACAATACGATATGTGTGTGTGTGTGTGTGTGTGTGCGTCCTTGTACGCGCACTTACCCATAGACAGAGAGAAAGAGTCGATACGGGGTTGTGAAACCTGACGAAACGAAAAATGTGAGCGAGAAATGCTGATCAGCTTCACGAAAAGCTTGCTCACCACGGCACCAGAAGGCGTCGAAAGAGTTCGGATTCATCGGCTGCGGGCCAAGCAAGGGATGAAGCCCCTTAGAATTGCACACCAGGAGTTGACTTTTTGAGCTTGTTACCATGAAGAAGCTTCTCTCGAAACTCTTTGGTTTCCTTGGCGGTGAGAAGGATCCAATTGAAAATCTGGACCAGCTGGTGACAGTACTCCAAGTCCTTAAGACACACACATATATCGGCTGTCCTTTGCGTGTGATCCTATCTTTAGTACCTGCTCTTGCTCAAGCGCCTTCGCAATGGTCGTGTAGAGCTGCTGGACATCTAGGTACGTACACAGTTGGCGAATAACCAGACGGCCGCGCTGATCCTGCACGGGAAAAACGATGTGTGCCAAACGACTATATATAAGGATGCCATGTCCATGCATTGCTTACGAGCATTTTCCGATCTTTTGCAAAGAGGTGCAGTAACTTCTGGGACACCAGGTCAAAAAAGTCACCTGAACTACGTCAATCGGCGCAAGAACGCGTGTCACTACCGAGTACATTATGAGACCCATTTCTCACCGTGTTGGGATATTTGCGCAAGGACTTGCAGTGCTGCGACGACAACTTCGCTATCAGGATGCTTGAGCGTCTCGAAGATGGGATCAAACAATATCTCCAGTACCAGAGCCATCTGTCCTGGCCTGAAGGCAAATCGTCAGAGAGCCCAAAGTTACGAGGGAGCAATGCGGGTCAGGTGATGTACCTGCGCGTCAGCAGCATACACACCCACTGCAGGCAGGCTACACGGACCGTCACCTGCCGAGACAAACAAGGTAAGAGTTCCTGTCCGATTGAGTTCTCTGTCCGATTGAGTTCTCTGGTCCGCGACAATCCACTCACCCCTTCATTCTTTAGTTTGTCAAGCAAGACTGTCACCTGAGAATTACAGACAGACGAGTGTCAAGTGTGTCTTTCACATTCCGCTGGTGTCAAGCTCAAGGCCTACCAGCTCTGGCACAGCGAATGCGAAGTCCGAACTATTGACCATATTCAACAGAGCGGTATGTGTCGTAACCGCAATTCGACTTATCTCTGTCCAAGTGAGAGACTGTAGGGGTATTTGCCAATCTTATCTATTTGCGCACCTTCTTCGCTATCATCCACGCAATGCAACACTCCATCGAGAAGAGCAGGATACAGAGGCTGCAGGGAAATAGAGGCACCCATCTCGACAAAATCATGGAGCCACACCAATGCAGTTAGACGGCAGAAGTTCTCTACACGAACGAGCAGAATTGCCGCAAGATCCTGCATGTCCTACTGTTCTTTCCTACCAGCAGCTTTGCATCCCTTGACAACTATCTTTGCCACCTCACCGATAACACTCTCAGCCTCTGATCGATCATTCATCATGAAGGTCGCAGCGCTCGTGCATTCACTTGCGAGTTTAGTCGGCTCACACACCTTTGGGCCCCGACTGCTTGATTTCGTTCAGGAACTCGGACAGGCAGGCGTCCGCACCATGCCGAATATCCCTGCATCGCCAAGACATGCTTTCGGCTGCATCTATGCGAAACAAGCAGCACTCGAAGATGTGGCAGACCTGTTTGTATCTGCGAGCATGCTGAAAAGGCCCTCTAGAAACTGTGGGAGATACGATAACATATCCACGTCTGCAAACAGCAATACATAGTTCAGACGGCTACATAGGCTTGCGACCACCGACCTGGTACGGAGTCAAGGATGGTGATCCAGCTCAACTGGTAAGAACACAGAAGATACGCCATGCAGTAGGTGTGCACAAAACACGTACCATAAGCTGCCTGACGTACGGATTCAGCACACGAATTCGCTGCGATAACAGCGAGATGAACTCCGCAACATTGAAGGCAGGACTGGCAGAATGCCGCAAAGGTACACATAGATGCATATCACTGTACTTTGACCATTCTCACCACTCGGTTACTATGTCCTTGATGAGCCTGTCAAGGTACTGCGCGCCATTCTTCACCTCAACATCAACGTCGGCGAAAAGCTGCAGACAGAGGGTCCATGTCTGCGATTCAGCTTTAGTTCCCATCTTCCCTCACGCGCCTACCTTGCACAGCCCATCAAATATGTCATTGAAGTACTTGAGGACATCGTGACGCGCAACCTTGGCAACGTTGTACAGTGACTGCACCCTCAAGACAATCAAATGGGGCTCTGCCGACTCGCCTCGTGTTTACCTCGCATGCGTAGTAACGTACGCGTGACTCAGGGTCAGAGAAGCACTTGAGTATAGGCGGCACCAGCAAATCTATCGCCACCGATCCTTGTGCTTTCGAGTCTGTGAATAGTCATATCTTGAGCTCACCCAGGTGTGTTTGTATGTTCGCTGCCTCAAGCCCTATTGCCACAGACGCCAAGCCAATCAGACCCCCCTTCCTGTAGTTGCCCAGCGGATTCTCCAGATACTCACGAACCAGCAACTCCAGGGCAGCGCGGGTCTTCTCGTGCGCCGTGTTCCCAGGATGCTGTTGACTGTAGTAGCTCCGAATCAGCTGTTCAACCTCCTGGGCAGCAATCTTGCGCTTCTCATAGCCTGATGACATGGCAGATACGAATGAAGAACCAACATGAAACAACTCTCACTTTTGTCAGGCAAAGTCTTGACAACATTGCTTCCGAAGACAGCCAAAGCCTCGGCAGAAGTAGCGGCCATTGAGATGCCAGGAGGGAAGCACCTCTAACCGAAGCACGGGTAAGGTTTCAGGCCATACCCTCTGTGTTTCTGTTTCACGATAAGTTCTCAAACCCTAAACCCTCATTCGGACCCGCCACTCCGATCGAGTGGCACGCTACCCACTTCATGTTCGTAATAATAGATCTTTGCCGATTTTGAATCAGCCCCGCATGCAACGGTGCAGCTGAACCTTTTTTTGAGCGTGCAAGACCCGAATCAAACCCTTCTGCACGAAAGCCAGGGCACCCCTGAAGCCCCAGCCGAACCGAACTGAACTGAACCGTCGTGTGTGGGAGGTAGTCTGCGAGCACGGGTCAGTGATGCCACTCGAGTCCTGGATGCTGTGGATCTGTTTGTGTCAGGGAGGACCTCTTCGGGCTTCGGCTGCGTCGCGTGTGGGTGGTGGTCTGCGTGTGCGGCTCAGTGATGCCACGCGAAAGGACACTTACGTAGCAAAAAGAGCGTGTCTGTGGATGCGTCGAAGTGCTTACGAGTGAATCCGTCTTCTGTCCTTGTGCCTGCCTCCTTGCCTTCTGGGTGTTTCTGTCTTTCTTCGTTCTCTTTGTTTGCCGTTTCCTCCTTGTTGTCTTCCCTTGGTCCCTTTCTCTCTCTCCTGCAGCAGGGCTGATGCTGCTGGCCGTTCCAGCCGCCAGCGGGCAGAGAGTTTTATCGGACCTTTCAGTGAGAGGTGCACACGAGGGTGGATGCGGTGGTGCGTGCCGCGAATGGGTGGTGTGAGACCACGTTCGGTTCGTGACACGAGAGAGAGCTGTTCGTGCGACTGTATGTCACTTGATTTGATAGCAATCGATGAGCAACACGGCCACGAGTGTGTCACGTACACAAACTGACCTCTCTCTCTGAGGAGAGCGAGAGTCAGCGATTCAGTGATGCCTCACCAGGAGAAGACATCAACCAGCCAACCGAAGGGCCTCCGAGCATTAATTAATCAACAACTCAATCAATTGATCAACCAATCAATGAACAATTTTTCTCTATTTGTCCGGTGTCTCGATATAAAAAAGAGAGCTAATTTCATCAACCACCGTCGTGGCCAAAGGGAGGAGGCTTCCACGGGGTGGTTGATTCCCATCGTCACAGGAACGAGAGGCTACGTTCGTTCGTCGTTCGTCGTCCGATCGTTCGTTCATTCGTTTGTTTGTGCCCGTCTGTGTGACAGACAGGCAGTCGTTGATAAGAGCAGTCCCCCGTGTGTGCGAACAGAGATAGCTTGAGCCTTCATCATTTGTTTGTACCAGCAGTCCACACACAATCGACCGACGTTTAATTTACGCTCTGCTCGCGAACATCGCTTTGGCATCGCGCCGCTTCGCCTTCATGATCCTGACGCCCTTTTATTTGAAGTTTCTGGTTGCGAAGCATCCATCCATCCATCCACCATCGGTAATTGATCGTTTTCATTTGCATACAGACCGAGATGAGTCTGATACGATAAAACCACTATGCAGCGGCATGCACCTGCTCGTATGTACGCATTCCACGTAGATCATGCAGTTTACAGGCCTACCATCAATTTACGAGGGCCTACCAGCCAAAAAGACAATGACACTGGACAACCGCACGGGGGTTGCGCGGGGGTCGCTCGGTCCTTCCCAAAACCTCACGACCCCCCCGAACCCGCATTATGGAACACAACAAATGAGGGACTGACCGCGGTCGAACATGCCCTTCCCGTGACACATTCGACCGCCCCAGATCAGTCGCTGACAGACAACCAAAGGCGGAAGGGAAGGGCAAAACTCCAGGAAGCCAAGGGAGCGATTGTTCATCGGCAATTCTCACGCGTCCCGCCCTACAGATGATGTCTCTTGGCCTCAAGAGCCAGCTTGACTGCTTCCAGCTGATCGAGCTTAGACCGGGGGCCAAATGAAAAGCTCGGATGACACCTGTTTTTGTTGCGAGTGTGATGCGTCACGACGGTGTCTTGTCGCGGAAGGTAGGTGCACCCTGTGCCCGTGAGAGACGAGGGAACCACGCCCTTGTCGATCTGGCTGAGTGCCGCGTCGATGGTCGCCACCTGCGTTCTCGCGAGTCCATGCAGCTGAGGCCCGCCCACCCTCCTCGTTGTCACGCGTGCTGGCCGACTGCAAACACCTCTCGCACCCGCCCTCGACCCGGTGCTTCCGCTTGAGCTAGAGAGCAGCGAGCAGCGCCTTCATGCTGGTGTCCATGGGAGGCTGTGCTGGCGTGAAGCGAATCTGACACCGCGGTTGACCGTCCACCGTGTGGCTCGTGTCCTGCACGCAAACAAATCATAATACTGGTGATGGGTCTGATCTGGGAGGAATGTACGTGATGTGTTTCCTTTCGTACCCATGCCATCCCAGACGCCCTACCACCCATCCCAGGGGGAGGAGACACCTCACGTCCATCACGTATGGCGGCCTCGACCTCCTCGATACAACTGTCGACACGCTCGATCTCCAGCCTCCGATTGTCCCGTTGCTGGAACTCCTCCCACCCTGACCCCAAGTCCCGGCACTTGGGACACCCATGGCCCTGCAGGTGCTGCAACCTGCACTCCAGGGCTGCCCGCAGCGCCTTCTCCTTTCCGCGGTGAAGACCATCGCCGAAGGAACGGTGACACGTCCCGAAGGCCCCTTGCGCGAGTTGCGACGGCTGACCCCCCTGGGACGAGGGATGCTCTCGACGTCGACTGACCTGGTCTCGAGGACCTCAATTTGCCTTCTTGATGCTGTCGATCTCTCGCTGCCGGTACTCCTCATACCTTTGTTGCGCTGTCTTGCGGAGGGCTGCCTTCAGCTGGCCGATGCGAGTGAGCGGGGCGTGGGGCGGATCCTGGGTGGCGCGAAGACGGCGATACTTGTCGCGGGGCGGGACCTTGAGGAGGTCGTCCTTGGAGTAGCCATCAGGGAAGTCGGAGAGGGGAACCTTGTCGGACGTGTCAGACACAACCTGAAACGGAGAGCAGAAGAAACTTGCGGCGATTCGCATGTGTGGGTTGTTTGGTACATGGCCAGTGTCATTGAGGTAGACGGGGTACACGTGCTGACAGCGGTTGTAAAGCCAGAGACCTTCGAGCTCCTTGATCAACTCGTCCCTGACGGCACAGCACCGTGCTGTGCTCCAGCTACGTCCCTGGTCGATCGATGGCAGCTCGCCCCCACGGCCCTGCCGAGGAATGTGTTGACACTCATGGTCAGACCGGGGATGCGGTAGCGGCTCGACCAGGAGCAGAAGACGTCGTAGAGTTGGAGGGCCTCTGTGAGAACAAAGAGCACCAGACGATGGACGGAGGCATGCACTGCATTGAGACCCAGACGGTTGCCTACCTTTCGGGCTCTTGAAGGCCCAATAGGAAATTTTCCTTGACACGCGTGTAATACCGCTTCCAGTCGTTGCGCTCGTGGTTGCCCTCTCCAGGGTTGTGTCCTGACTGAGTCCACTGCTGCAAAGGGAAGGGACAGAGGCAGTGAGTACCGAAGCGATGGATCTTTCTGTCTTGTTTATGCTGACCACCAGCGGTGTCGTCTCGTCGTCTCCGAGCAGGAGAATTCAAATGAAAGTTCCGATGGAGAGATAGTTGTGGTGTGTTCCGCATGAATGGCTGCATTAGGTCGCATTGCTATGCAGGGCATTCGACTACTGGCAAGACTTAAATGAAGTGCCTGCCTCACGACTGGTCTCGCATGCACATTCACGACACATCCTCTTCAGTCAACCCTCGGCGCTTGACGTCGAATTGGGGTACAGGGTGCGGGTTGGACTATCTGCGGGCCTGATGGAGTAAGATAGTACAGCCAGCCTTTGATGTTGAGCACCCGCCACAGCCATGGAGGCCTTGCATTGAGGAGAGTCACTTGGTGCTTGGTCACCAGCCTGAGCACACAGCATCAACATTGTTCTGAACTGGCAACTCTGTGCGCGCGACGGCCGCGTACCCGTCATCGTTCACGTAATAAACAGATATGCCGTCGGCATAAATCAGGTCTGACACCATCGGAGCCTGATGTCATGCATGCGAGAAGCAGCAAGCATCGATCCGCTCTGCCATCAATTCACCCCTTCCTAATTGCTGTCGGATCGTGCCGTTCACCTTGAGCTTGAGGTGCCAGGAAACACGAACGACCTCCATGTAGGGATCCCACACGACGTGATGGCGGATCTCGTACCAATCGATGCTCTTGCGCAGGTAGTACAGCCCTGCCAATGTGAGAAATAGTTGCGTGCAGCCACAATTCACATCTGCATACCTTTCCAGATTTGTTTGTACGTGCTTCTCCCTCGCAGCTGGAGCCCAACGGGGTCTTCAAATACGATGTCCTTGCTACATCCATCCATAGCGCAGGTCAAGAGCAATGCCATGGTATGTTTGTGAAGCGTACGCGAAGAGCTCCAAATCTGGTTCGAAGTCAAAGAGCTGCGGATACCCATACGTAATCATGTCCAACAAGCGGCCTGTTGCAGGACACACAAGTCTCATGCAGAGAGAAGGGATGCAGCGTCCATTTCTACTCACCTAGGCGGAGGTCATATTCAGGATGCTTATCTCCCTTCCAGACCGTCTTGTTGAGCCTGGGCGGAACGGTGGGCGTGAACATGTCAGGGGGTGCAAAACTCTGGAGTACTCGTGCCTGCAAGAGCGGCAACTCAGACATGTCTTCTATGTTGCTCTCTACGGCCAACGGCCCGGACAACAAAGATGAAGTGCTGCCAGACGCCACCAGGCTCCCGAGTTCCTTCAAGTCAGCAAGTAGCAGGGTTCGACGATCACCTGCGCGGTCAAGTTCTACTTGCTCCCTGAAGCCCTCAAGCTCTAGGATTGGTGCAGCCGCAACCCCTGTGCTCCTCCTGTCGGCGAACATCTTCCACAAGCGATGATGCAAGAATGGGGCGGCAGCATGTAAGGATAACGCCGGACTTGCGCCAAGGCAGACGAGGGAAACCAGGTACAACACGACCATGACCAGACGGGAGGGAGGATCAAGTGGTCCGAACCCTTCAGGCCTCCAACTTGCGCCATCAAAATTCCGAACGTGTTGTTTCATAAAGACGCAAAAGGGCTCTAGCCCAATTCACGGAATTCCGAGTAAGGGGTAGGGCACCCCGGGCCGCGAATTGGGCAGGGGTGGAAAGCAGCGTGCGAAGTGGTGGTTCAATTCTGCGTCACAGAGACGTGCACAGCACGAGTGTTTGCGAGAAGCACACCGACGCATGCAACAATGGCGAGAGTTTCAAAAACATGCAGACAACAATCGAGGGCTTGAAAAGCATGCAGATCTCGAAGACAGACGTGTCGATAACATACAGGTACTCAGAGGGCTGCACCAAGAACACAAGACACCCCCCATGTTGCCGCTTCTGCTGCGCCCGTGTTGAAGACGTGCTTCGCCAAGTATATCAATGCACCGCTGGATGCAATTGGATGCCAGCCTATCGATATGCAGCGATGATATCAATAGACATGTATCAATCTAGCGCGCCTGTTGAAGGGGCTATCGAAGACTGCCTTCGATGACTGTCAATCGGCTTGTCAATCAAATGGGAGCCGCCAGGATCAGCCTAACGATGACCTGCACCAGCAACGCAACAAGGTAAATGAAATCGGCCACAGCCGCGCCACGTCAGATGAAGCAAGCCTCCTGAAGTGCCGCCAGACACACTGTGGTCACTCGATGGATGCTGCCGACCTCACTCGACTGCTGGAGCAGCCGGCGTCCGCATTGCAGCCGCCTGAGACGGTCGACGACAGGACGTTCTCTGTTCACTGGGCGAGCCGTTACCGATTGAACGAAGAGCAGATGCGGGCGTTCCAAATCATCTGCAGCCACTTGCTGAACCACTACAAAGACCTGAGGGACAATAAATACATCGCGCCATTGCGCATGTGCCTGACCGGTAAGACCGTCATGAAAGCCGTGAAGGCTTGTTCTGCTGAACTGCAATGCAGACATTGGCTGTGTCTGGCGGCACTTACCTACCGGTGTGGCTGCAGATAACACCGAAGGCTCGACAGTCGATTCGCTCCTGCACCTCTTCGATGGCTTCGAGAGTGGCGAGAAGAGGCTGCGGCGCCAAACGGGGAAGCAGCAGGCAGTCGATGGTGACCGCATTTGCAGAGAGGAGCCTTACAAGCATATCCACTACACGATAGTCGGCGAGATCTCTTTCGTTAACCGCCAGAAGCTCGACAAAGTCGATGCGGCACTGAGGGACCTGCGAAAAGGCAACCAAGAAAGACAAAGCTCAACCAGCTGCATGAACGGACAAAGGAGAAACATCCCATCCACCACAAACTGGCGCGTTTCGTGTGTTCAGTCAGTAGATGCATCTTTTAGGAAGTTCGTGCCTTGGGGATTTCTCCTTCAGTGGCGCACGCGCGAGCTTTTTCAAGCAACACCTTGCCGCTTTAGGGCACATCAGTTTAACGAAAAAACGAAGCTTCTCGACGTGTCTCTAGTAGTGCAAGCAAGACAACACCGCTACCGATTTTCCTTTGCCGTCCATACGATCGTGATCGAACGTTTTTTCTGCCGAACGTGTTGTTTCTGAAAGACGCAAATGGGCTCTAGCCCAATTCGAGCAAATGAGCACTAGCCAGGCACTAGCTCAATTCCCTCTCCGAGACCGCGACACAAATCGAACAGCGAGACTCCTGCGAACGCACGGCGGTCGAAGGCGGCCACGCGATCTTGTATTTATCTCACCTGGGGTGTATCGTTATCATCTTCATGGGGAACCAGGCCCTGCAGGTGACCAGGCCTGTGAACCAAGTGCAGGGGCGGACGGATCTGCCTCTCTCCAAGCGTCCGAAGGTCGTCGCTGCCTTCTTCGATGCGGAACAGGGCGCAGCCAGCGGCATCCTTGTCATCACCAAAGACTCTATCGAGAACTTCAGCGCCAAGTCAGGCATCCGGAAATACCTCTATCGCGTGCAGCCTTCAAGCGCCATCCGATGTGCTGCCCTCAACACCAAGAGCGCACTGGGCCCCTGCCTGTTCAGTGGCTGTGAAGACGGAGTGATCCGCATCCACAGTGGTGTGACTCTGAAGCTCCAGAAGGAGATCCCGGCGCCTGAAGAGGGGGTGGACTCGGATGCCTCAGCCCCAGTCTTGACCTGCATCGCCTGCCCCCTCAACAACGCTCTTGTCTGCGGCTATGCGGATGGCACTCTGCGGTCCTTTTTTATCGAGACCAACGCATTGGCGTGCACGTATCGACCTCCGAGTACCGAGAGCGCTCCGTCATCGCCAGAGCCCTGTCCCTCGTCTGCGGTCACGTGTGTGTCCTTCTACAAGCCCAAGAACCACATCCTGGCGGGCCATGCGAGCCAAGTGGTGGACGCCAGCGGCCACACAAGCTCCCTCGAGGACGTGCCAGTATATGTCTATTCGCTCGAGCGGGGCCGCGTGGTGCACAAGCTGCTGGGTGCGAGGGAGACGGTCAACCACTGCGACATCACGGACACTCTGGGCGGGTCGGGCAGCGGGCCTTACGTTGTGGCGTGCTGCGTCGGTGAGTTCATTGTGTGGGACTCGCAGTCGCACGAGATCCTGCTCACCTACCGCCTGACAGCTCACGTGTATGCGCTCGACTCGCACCATCGGTGTTCGGCAGCGGCGTTTGATCGGTCCGAGAATGTGCTGTTTTGCGCCTTCGATGCGGGCTGCTTCGTGTCGCTGCAGCTCAAGAGAGAGGATCGGCGCTCCCGAGGCAATGGGGGGTCTGAGGCCTCACCATCAGCGACCAGGAGCACTGCAAGCACAGATGGGAAAACCGGAAGCACCGAGGTGTCCCCGAGTGAGCAGCGGCCAACATCACGAATCACTTGCATACCTATCAAGCTGTACCAGGTCAGCGAGTCATGGGATGGTGCATACACTCGTTGTGTTGCATCTGAGGCTTCTCGTATACAGGTAAAGCAGAAAAACAGCGAGGAGAGCGGCCTCGAGCTCTCAAAGGAGCATACGACTCTTTACTACCTCTGGTACGTCACCGTCGTCTTATCCACTGCCGACCTACCTAAGGCGTGTCTCTCGTTTCGTGTGAGTGATTCAGGTATGACGGTCGCACCCAGACGGTGGTGGTGGGAGATGGTTGCGGCAGGGCCAAGCTGGTCCCCGATATCCTAAACAAGCAGACGCAGCGGCACCAGCATCAGCACCAGTGGCCTGGCGGCTCTCCGCCAACTCAGCCTCTCCCCATGATATCGCTGTCGATCCCTGGCTCGGGCACCGCACGCCCTCCTAGCCCTCCCCTGAGGTTGCCCAGGCCGCCATCCTTGACGGACAAGCGGCTGCCACTGTTCTCACTCGACCCTGTCGCAGATATCAAGCGGGCGATGGTTGGAGGGGACCGGGGTAGGCCTGGACCGCCGGATGTGGAGATGGACGGCCGGGGAGGGGAGGGGTGCTAGCAAAGGAAGAAGAAGGATAGCGAATAGCACTGAGCAGTGAGATAAAACAGCAGAGTGAGTACGCGCTCCTATTTGCTGCATCGTGATTGGCAATCGGCGACAGTGTTGGGATGGACAAACACAGCTCTGTCATTTACTCCTAGCCTTCTGGACATGCTCTCTGAGTGAATGACTACTCTGCATTCACTCGCAAGAGGTGTAAGGGAGGCATCCGCTCGAGTTACACGGATTTTCGCAATGCGGCGTAACCCACGGGATCGAAAGTCATTTTTTATTGTATGTAGTTTAGCCGCCGCATTCTTAGTTTTGCTGCTTCAGAAAATGCTTCCCAGAGGGGAGATAACGACTGGCGAGTGCGTGAGCGAGGAAGGGGATTGCGAGGGTTTGGGTTCAACGGGAGTCCACCAGCGGTGATGGGTGGTAGTGCCTCCTTGCCAGTGATAAACATTCGGGCGTGAGGCTGTGAACAGCAGCGGCGCAACAATCGGTTCGTTCCGCACCTGTGGTAGTGCAGTCATACATTATGTGGCGATGTGTGGTGGTGAATGAAACAAACTGAGACACACCGCACACCGCCATGACATTGCATAAAGACGGCCGATGAAATCACACTAGCAATGTTGTATGCCGGCTGATGCACGTAGTTTACATTAGCACTCAGGACCTCCACAGAGGGCGACAGGCAACTCCACACGTGGCAAAAAACTAAGACAGCAGCAGCGGCCGGCTCTTGGCGGCATTCGGTCGCACGGGCAATCATGCATCACACGCTAGGGAGCAGGAGGGTGTTTCTGAATGTCCCACGGTGCTACACGAGACACGGAGCCGGCCATCACACCCCCTTCCGGTGGTCGGGGCATGTGGCCGGCTGGTCACTATGCAGCTATGGCATACCGGTGGGTGCCGACAGACTCGACCATGACGAAATGACTGTGTCGAATTCAATGACGAAATGACTACGAAATGACTGTGTCCATAGATAACACCCTGGCTGTCTCTAGAAACTCACTAGGTGAGCACCATCATAGCAAGGTGAGGCTCCATAACCGGCGTCGGTGGCAGGCCGGTTCGTCACGGCACAATAGAATGCCTCCTGTAGGTTGCCGTCAAAGCAGAGGTCCTTCTCGCGACTATCTTTTGCTGATTCAGCAGCAGATAGTTGCGGAGTCGACCCGTATTGGTCGGCGCGATGTGCGACATGACCACTATCGTATCCATCAGCTGCCCAAACTTGTTGAATGAGCCCCATCAGAGTCAGACGACGATGAAGAGAACGTCCACGAAGCTGCTCAATGGGTCCGCCGGCTGGGCAGGAGGAATGCCACCTCCCTGGCCGAGGAGAGACGCCAGGAACGCCAAGAGACGCCGCTCGACGTGCAGCCGTCGAGATCACCGAAGAGCGTCTCGCCTACAAGACAGGGAACAGACAGACAGACAGACAGACACGCAACCGTGTTTCCTTCCAACTTTGTGCTGTGTCGTACGTGTGGATATATCATGAGGCGTGCATGATTGTGTTGCCGCGCCACAATGGCCGGCCAACCTGCCTGTGGCACCCTCCTTATATTCCAAGGCGCTAAACGCGTGTGCAAAGCCCATAAAGCAGGAGCCACACGGACAGCGATGCATTCGCCAACAAACACCAGGCCGTCCGGCGGTCTACGGCTGAGGGCGGTGGAGCTCATCCACGACGCACAGCAGGCGGTTCATACGATCGCGATCGAACGTTCAACGGGCAGAGCAAGACAATCATCACTTTTCCTGTGTTTGCCTTTCTATAGGTGCGGACCTGCGTGAAGGTTCTCCAGTAATCCTCTGTCAGCCTCAGACATGCACCCACTATGTTGGTGTGCAGATCGAGCCGGTCGTCATCGGAGTAGGGGAGTCGCAACACGAAGCTGGCGAAGGTGGTCTCCAGCATGTGGGCAGGCTCGATGGTCTGCTGATCGACCACTGGCACGTCGTAAGGCCGTATGCCGTCTCCAGCGCCTCCCTCTCAGCCTCCTTGTCGAGCAGATGCTGCAAGGGTGGCTGCTGCTGGGGTGGCTGCTGCTGGGGTGGCTACTGCTGGGGTGCCTGTGGTTGCTGGTCGCCTCTTTCTAATGCCCGTCATCACTACGTCCCCCCGTTGCCCTTCCCCCGCCCCATCTAGCTCAATGACATCCTTGGCACCAGACGCTGAGGACGCTGCCAGACGAGCAGGGGGCCGGGTGGAGGACGACGTGCCAGCTGCTGCTGCTGCGGGGGACGGGCGTGGCTCGGTGGGCGACTCGGCTGGGAGACCGACCATCTCCTTGACGGCCGCCTGTCGGTCCTTATCGCCATCCAACTCAATCACCACGATCGTGTCCAAGTCGTCGTCGTCGTCGTCGTACTCCTCCTCACCGCAGTGGGCCGCCCTCTCGAGAAAGCGGCCCAGGCTGCCTGGGAAAGGGACGACATTAAGACCTCTCGGACATTCCTCCTGACCAGACCTCTCGGACATTCCTCCTGACCAACAACATTATCCCCACGACCCACATGGGTGGCGTATGCAGCTTCAAGTGGGATGCGGTGACCATGTAAGTGAAAGAAGGGTAGAGACATGACATGGAAGTGTCTCTTGTTTGTTTCTTTCAGTGGCGAGGTTCAGTAGGGACACCTGTCATCTTCAGGACATTCGTCTATTCTTTGACCGCACTGATGAGTTAGAGGAGATCGAGAAAATTCTCGAGAAATGCGACATGCAGGATGACAGAAAGAGGATCTACGGCAAAGGGATGAGTCCTGACGAGATTGATTCTTGTTGCCAGACAGCGACAGATCTACTTCGGCAGCGTGCGATGGAGAGAGCCCCTCTGCAGCTGGCTTTGCACAAACGTGCACGTGGGTGCCTGGGGTCGCCACCGCCGTTACTTCCGCATCCTCTCAGCCACCCAGGAGACCGTCCAGGACGCCATTCAGGAAGCCACTGTTTGAAGGGAGCACATACGGAGGCGCCTCGGTTGGGACGCCACGGACATGTCAGATTACAGGTTCGCCAGCCAGAAGGAGGCCGCGGAGGTGAAGGCAGCGGTAAATAGGCGGCTGGACTTTTTTGTCCCCCAGAGACGAGAAGGAGTGCCCTAGAGAAAAGAAGGGCTGCCCTACAGATATCCTAGGTTGGCCAGACAGGAAGCACCTGTCTGTTGCACTCACGAGAGACCCATATGATTCCCAAGTCAGCAGGGTCTATATTCAGTGTCAGCTCAAGCACAAGCGGGTCCCCATGTTCTACAAGAAATTCCCAGTGTTGTCAGCTGAGAGAGAGGATATAGATATATTGAGATGGCTGTTGAGGAGTATAGGGAGTGGGCACGGGAGGAGGTGCGTTCGTTAGAGCTCGCCGCTGAGGCAGGAAAGGCCCAGGTCATGTTGGAGGTGAAGAATGATGAGTGTGTGGCTATCTGCACAAGGGCGGGGAAGAAGAGGAAGACGATTAGTCCTTGCCTAGTCTGTGTGGCACTGTGTGAAATCCATCGACTTCGCCTACGCTCACCCTACATCAGTTCGTATCAAGCGAAGGGAAACAATACATGCAGAAACAATGGACAACGCTCATTGACTGCACAGACGCATGTCGTTGTGTTGCATATACATACATGTGTTGTACATACATGTATTGTATATGCATGTATTGTGTAGGGTTTAGATATGCATATGCAGACGCAGTGAAAAGGGCACGCTCGCTATGCATTGCATTGAAAAGACCTGTCCTTTGGGTGGGCACTCACCGTACAGAAGTTGCGGCTGAGCTTGTCCGGCCAGCCTTTCGGCTCTGCGGACCTTGGAGATGTGTTGAAAGGCTGATGTGACCTGGACATCGCAATTCTCTCATTCGCATCATCCACCTAACCATTCGCCGATCCCATTACCACCAGAGTCGGTCACCCCTATCCCTCATCTACTGAGGAACCGGCGGCACAATAGCGTCTCTCTCTGCTTCCTGACTGGTCCGTATCCTGGAATTTCACTTTTCAACGTTTCAGTTCGCTGGGGTCCGTATGGGCCACCCAGCTAGGAAAGTCAAGCAGGGCACCTTTACTTTTCCATCCTCTCATTCCTGAATTTTTGACTAAGAAAGAACTATACTCTGCCCTCCCAATTTCTTCCCAGACAGACATGAACTCGTCCCTGGTGATGGGTGTGTCATACATAGGTAGATTGGCCAAACGGAGATCATAAGGTGGGAAGAGAGGCCCCTGGCCTTTAAAAAACCGGGCAAAGGCGGGGTGGATCAAGAGATAGTGTTGGGGGACGAGGTGGATATGTCGAGCAAATTCCTTTGGACGGGCGCGGATAATCTCTGTGGGAATAATTTGACCCCAATCTCTACTTGATCGATTCTCCGCCATCTTCTGCATCCAGGCCCATAAGAAGGGATTTCCTGGCTCAAAGTTGACCATGGGGTCGGCTTGGGCTTGGAAATTCCACTCTGGGTTTAAGCTGGGGTTGTGCTTGTGCCGACCATCCACCAAGGGGAGAGTGGCGTTCTTCCAACTAATTGTTTCCATCCCGGGCCATTCTAGGATGGGAAGAACGTTGAGATCCCGGATAAGTGGGCCAACCATAAGATCATCCGCGTCGATGTATGTCCCGCCCCAGCGCCAAAGTACCACTACCCGAACGACATCGCTAAATTCTACCCAGTTCGGCTCCTCAGGTTGGATGCCTTCGACTGGAGTGCCGTCAAGAAAAGAAGAAGACCAAAAGACTGGGTGTACATTGGGGAAAGCAGTCAATTTTTTCTCCAGACTCGCTGATAGGATCTTCCTCTCGGTAATGAAGTAGACGGGCGATTGGGGCTGAAAGAAGGATATACCCTTCAGTAAGTGTTGAAGTTGGTGGGAAACATGGGTGTCTGGACGCTTGCCACACCACAAAACGAAAATGTTGTCACGCGTTGGAACGGGACCGCCGGTGTAATTGTGTGTTTGAGCCGACACGGGCATGTCCTTCCGGACAAATACGCCGGAGGCATCTGTGTAGGCACCCACCCGCAGGCTCTGGCTTAGAACGACGAAATCAGTAACGAGTAGAAAAAGGAATATCATGAGGACTCGTTTCGGCGAGGGCGTCAAGATAAATTCATCGCTGGGTTGCGATTCACGGATAATTCACCCACTTGGAGTCCATCCGCCGCACCTTCACTCCACGGCAGGTCCGCCCATCCGTTCCTTCTACGGTCTAGCCACATCTCCCCTCGGTTAATTAGGCCTGGCCTCCCTTAACTAATAAGGGGGAGAGTTGGCTCGGTTAATAAAGTTAAGGGAAGTCACATATGTCTTCCCTTAACTTTAGCATATTGAGAATGGCCATGCAGTGAATGAATGAGGGACTGAACGGCTACAAACGACTATGCATAAGATGCATAATGTCAGATCCGATGTGAGTGAAGAGAATGTTCGTCACTGAGCCTCACGCACGCCATCGCATGCAGCTGAGACACTGTACATAACGGTCATATCCTGGCCAATCCTGTCTCATAACTACTGCATAAGATTATCACGCGCATTGCTCCCGGGCAGGGGGGTTGTGCCGGTGGAGCGGTGTCTAGTGGTAGAGTGTGATGCAGGGACGATGGACGCTATGCAGACCTCCGGAGGTCCCGAGTGTGGCCACACCAGAGCGAACAAGAACTTCAACGAACGACATTAAGACACAGAGACAACGAATCCTCACCATCCCCGTGTTTTCTTGTTTCCTCGATTTACTGGCATATTTGGAGGCAACCGCCTTTCTTTGACCGTCATTTTGTGCAGAGTTCGGTTTCATGTCAACGGCTACCCTATGCTGCTTCATTTGGAACATATGGGAGAGATGCTGGCATCTCCCTTCACCAGCGCAGCGGTACATCATCAGCAAGGAGGCGAAATGTCCTTCAGTGTCATGCTTCTCGTGTTGGGCATCGGTGTGTCATTTCAAGCCACCCTGCAGCATTCCCTCCCTTCACGTGCTGGGCTCCGAACAGCACCATTGTTGACTGCAGGGTGTAGAAGGCGCATGAATATGACACATGATCCATTTCACATCAACACATCCGCTGACTGATGCACCTCGGCTGCGGGAGGAGAAAACCCACAGACAGTGACAAAAACTCCTTCCTGCTCGCCGCCTATGGATGAGCTGTCTTTGAGACGAGCTGTGTCTACAGTAGTGGAGAACGATCTGTGAAATAATTGTTCGTTGGTCGACGATTGGGAGACACGGAGAAGAGGCTTTCACTTGTGTAACACACGAAGGTCTGTCCACACCTAACACACACGCGCACACGAACACGCACGCGACGTCAATCACAGTATCAGTGAGGCGCGTCGGCAGCCACGCAGAATCGACTCTCTCTTTTTTCTTGAGAGTCGCCAGGGAAGGCCTTTTGGAACGACAGGAGTGCTGGAGGGGAAGCAGAAAGGTGAGAGGCGAGAACACTATCAGATTTTTCTCGCCTGAGATTACTGGACTGGCCAAACGAAAGAACGCTCGTTTGTCGAAGATTGGCAAGTTCGTCCCCGATCCCTGCGGAGTAAGAGGGGAGCGATGCGGAATTCCCCGGTCGGCCATTTTCCGTCTCCAGTGTTGCCCTAAGCACCGGGCGTAAATGTGGGAGAGCGTGTTCCACTTTCATGCCAAATGCACCAACGAGGGAAGCAACAGTAGCAGGAACTGCCGCGCACTGAGTCTTCCGTCCCTTCATCAGCACGAGAAACCCCTTCATTCCCATGCTCATCATTCGAGACCCCGGCGGGAGTTAGGCCGGGGGATGCACACGACAGCCCTTGTCCGTTTCTTCCTTAGTGTAGAACACGTGCGTGAAAGCCATTTAATCGTGTACGTACAAGCCCCGACTGTCTGTCTCTGTGAATGCATGTGGTGCATCTGCCGACACTGTCTGGCTGTTTGTATGAATTATGAATTATGTATGCATGTCTCTATGTGTTGTATGTAATCTTATGTCTGTCTAATGTGTGCTGTGCGGCTTTTAGATTGCGTTCCTTCTTTATCGGATTTTTTAAAATTTCTCCTCAATTCTTTATTTGTTTGCGTTCTTTTAAATATTTCTCCGCGGTTTGCCGGTTTAAATATCTTTTGGCACATTTGGGACGTTTTAAAAGATGTGTGGCAGAGGAGGAGGCTTGCACGGGGTGTCATCACTTCTTCACGGATAACCAGACAAGAGATCGTGCTCGCAACGGATGAATTAACCTAAACGGAGCAAAGAATGTAAGGAAAGGGTATACGGATGCTGTAATTAGAGCTCGGATTACTTCGATGCACGGAAAGGAGACATCTCGCTCCTCTTACATTCAGGAACGGATTCCGAAGCTGAGGCAGTGTCAGGCCTGGGAAGGGCCCTCCATCTTGCATCATCATCTCGGCTTTCCGTCAAACCTCTACTTTCTCTCCTTGTTGGGTCTTTGTTTAGCACGTAGGACTTTACAAGTGAGCAGAGCATCTTTTTCCCCCTCTGACAAACCCCAATCATCGCAACAAGCCGTCTCTCAGAGTGTCTCAGACGACTCTTTAGTATTCTTTAGTTAGTCAAACCGTGTGGTCTACTGACAGAACTGAAATTGTGGTTATTGTAGAAGAGACTTGGCACTAAACAACGACACACAAAGAAAAGCTCTCAGAACACTGTGCACCTTTCGGCTTTTACATTGGCCTGGCCGGGGGTGGCGCTCAATGGACGGCGGGCTGAAGCACATGAGTGGCTGCAAAAGAACAGAGCGGGGTGCGAAAGCATGCCTGACGGGATGATCAATTCGTTATCACCTGAAACGGACTTTTTCTCAGGTGAAAACAGACTTCAGCGTGCACTCCTGTGATCGCTCTGCTCCTCTTTAGAGGTCTCACACATCAGTGTCATGATAGTGATTCTGCAATGGGACGTGCCGCTGGATAAGGCATGAACGAACGAATCACTCTGTCATTCTCTCTTGAGTCATCACGGCCGTCTCCCAAGCGAAGCAACCGAGGAGGGTTGTCTGTAGTGATGCAGTGATGCAGTGATTCACTGAATGAATGAATGAATGAATGAAGTGAATCAATTCATTGATTGACTGACAAGCACGCACACATTCATGTGACTCGACTGACGCCCTGTCATTGCATGGCGAAGTGTTTTCTGCTCGCGTCATGGCTCGCGTCGTTTGTGAGTTTCGCACAAGCACTTCACTGCAAATGCGTCGCATTCGATTCATTCGGGCCTGTAAGGGCTCAAGGCTTGCCTGGCGCTGGCAAGGAGTCTGTTTTGTCATGAGAGAAAGTCCTTTTCACGTGATAACGAATTAATCCACACGTTTGACAACCCACGATGCACACCGTTTGGTGGTTGGGGTGTGTAAACCTTTATTGGTTGGTTGTCCTTTTGAGGCGAAGAGAGCGACGGCCACATGCGTGAGGACCGAAGTGGGAGAGGTGTGTCCAGATAGTTTGGGATTATCGACGGCTGTGTAAACTTTCGGTGACGGTTCTCCTTTTGACGGGGCGGAGAGCGATGGTCGTTTGCGTGTGAATACAGCATAGCGAGATGTATCATGCATTGACACAATCGTGCTGATTTAGGTTGGCGGCTGTGTGAACTTTCGGTGGCTGGTTCTCTTTCTCAAGACGGCGCAGGGCAACGGCCGCTTGCGTCCAAACACAGCGTGGCGAAATGTATCAGACATACATGCTTTTGCGTCGAATAAATGAGAGTCCCGAGAGAAATCAGCACAAAATGCCGATTTCCGTGCAACAGACACCAGTGTTCGCCACGTTTTACCCGAACGCCAGGGCGCAATTGCAATTAGAACCAAACTCGTCTCTCGCAGCGTCCGTGTACATATATTTCATCAACCAGATCGACCTTGAAGCGTGTGCAGGGACACTGCGGTTGAGTTAGCGGTGAGCAAGTTTTCAGCGGCTATGGTCTCGTTTGCGGGTCGAAGAGCGACGGCCACTTGCGTACGAAAGAGAACGTAAAGCAGTTGTGCCCTGAGCGACGCATTGTGTGACTGATGGTTCATGGCTGTGTAACCTTTCAGTGACTGGTTCTTCTTTCTGACGGAACGAAAAGCCAGTAGCGCTTGCGTGTGAACACAGCATAGCGAAACGTATCATGCATTGACACAATTGTGGTGATTTGGGTTGATGGCAGCGTCAACTTTCGGTGGCTGGTTCTCGTGTTTCACGGAAGGCAGAGCGCGTGACCGCTTGCGTGAGGACAGAGCAGACGAAGGAGCACTCACACTCAGACTTGCGCGGCGAACGCACCATAAACCCGAGAGAAAACAGCCAAAAACCGATTTTCCGGGTTTTTTGCCGCCGTTTTTCGCGCGGACGCGTGAGCGGATTTGAAGCTCGAAGCAAACTCGTTCCTCGCAGTGACCCCCTCCACAACCATCACAAAGCAGATCTTGAAAAGACCCCCTGGAAAAAAAGTTGGTTCCGCGCCGGTAAACTGGGACCTGATAACCACCCACCAGCTCAGCTTTCAGCTAGAGCAAGATCCGTGAAACTGATCTGAGCTGTCGTGTGTATTGACGTGTCATCTCATGCACCCTGCAACATTCCTCCGCTTCGCCATTGGAATGGCCCAACCCCCCAATGACCATTCGTTTGCGTATGACGTCGCATGGATGCAGTTACAGGCACTCCATTTGTCCTGTCATGTCACGCACTAAACTAGCACCATATACATGCATAAGAGCATGCACACGTTGAACACTGCTCCCTACACTGGCACCGGCGGACAAACAGATGGCAACGTTAACACACAGCCGTGGACCAACGCGTGTGTGGCCCCCGGGGCATCGTTACACGTCAATCATCATAGGACCGGCTGCTCAGGCGTGAGAGTCCCTGACGAAGCTGTCATTCGTGTGTGTCATGACTCGTGTCACAGCTAGATGACGTGACAGCACCTCGCGAGCGTGCTTGCGGGCCCGGGCTTCGTTGTCGTTGAGTTGCTCTCCCGGCCGTTTCGTTGTACAGATCTGTCACTACTCGGGCGTGGTTCGAGTGAACAAACCGTCTAAACATATCAACAGGTGGCTACAATCAACAATCCTTACTCACTCTCCTCCCCCCTCCCCCTCCTCTTCTTCTGCGTGGAGGAGGAGGGGGAGGTCGTCCTTACAGCGCCCCGCAGACTGCGTGTCAGCCGTGTACACAGTCCTCGCCAGGTCAACCGACCTGGCGCAGCACACATGCAGGGGGCATGTGAGTCGGGCATCTCGGAGAAGAAGAAGAAGAGGAGGAAGGAGAGCGTTGATTGTAGCCACCTGTTGATATTGTATAGATGTCGTTCGTTCATGGGCATATATGCACTGCGTACAAGGTTGGCTGTGGCCTCAGTGAGGGTTTTGCTTCATGAGTACATTGCGATGTCCGCCAGTCTCTCCTGTGGAAACTGGCGAGTTATTGTGGTATTGAGTGAATTTGAAAGTTCCAGCTGATCAGCCATTCATCAAACTACTCAACATTCATCTCGCCGGAATCGTCGACTAAGTCAGCTTAATGCAATGCAAGATGTCTGATGCCTGACGCTATATAGTGTGACTGGAGAGGTTTGTTGGAGAATATGATGTGCATCGAAAACAGAACTTTGGCCGCCAGGTTTAAAAGTAGGCCTGGAAGTCCTGGAAATCTGACACACACGGAAACACGTGAGGCACATACATACGCGCACAATGCGTGGTTTGTACCTTCCTCTCGCCCTCTGAGCTCCTTGAGCATCGGCTCGTCGAAGTACTTCTGCAAAGCCACGTCTTCACTCAAACCCTGAGGAACACCATCTAGGTGCCAACACGAGCAACGCACACATGGGCGGTTGGTCAGGTCACCTTTCTTCTCCTTGTCTTCAGCAGGAATTCTCTGGCGAGGTGCTGGTGCGGCGCAGGCTCCAACGGACGCAAGACGATCGACTGAATTGCTCACGCACACACACAAGGGCGTGCCCGCCTTACACAGGATGGTTCGGGTTTAGCAGGCAGGTGTCACCTTGTCGAGTGGGTCGCCAGGGACGACTTCCCACCTGTCGAACATCGACATGCAAAATGCCTGGCCAGATGTGTGGGTCCTGATACACAACAGACAAACAGAGCGGTCACCACGTGCCGATCTCCCCGGTGCTTGTATGTTTCACCTGAGGTCTGTTTCGAATCCGAATGATTCGATGGCCGGTAGCACCGCCTGACAGATGTACAGGGGCGTCCCTGGCTTGGGAAGGTCACGAACCACACGACCGCGACGCCTGAACGAGAATAGTCCAGACTCAAATGTCCCCTACGTGTATGCTGCCTCAAATCGGTTGACCTGGCTAGGACTGTGTACACAGCTGACACGCAGTCTGCGGGACACTGAATCTCGCTGTATAGGACGGGCTCCATCAGGCGGGGAGTAGCCAGCAGAAAAGCCGAATAGGCCACACGCCTGCACACACACACACACACACACACGTATGTGCACGGATGGATGAGCCATGCAGATTTGGTCTCTGCTGCCTGTACCTTGCTGTGGGTATGATTTGTCCCCCTCCCCTGCTGATGGGGTCGCTGGCAATCAGCGCATCGTTTAACTTAAACTTCACGTTGCTGAATAGACAGAACACACAGCTACGTCCGCTGACTTTCCCTGCCTTCTCCTTTCTTGGTTTTGTGCACCGTATATTCTCTTCAATGAGCGGCCCCTCTCGTGTTGCCCACTGAAAGCCCTGGACGATCAAATCTCTCACTGTACCCAACAGAGCCTTGTCAACCTGCAAACAGCAGACAGGTTGCGGAGCCCCAAGGTCTGCTGTTCCTAGTTGCTGCTGCACATCTGTGGGCAGAGTTTCGTCGAGCAGCATGTTTGGTCCCTGTGCGTCGGGTCCAAATGCCCAAATGGAGCGGGCGGACAACACGTCCCATGAATACTTGTGCATAAAGAAATCGCCGAGTTGGCTGACACCAGTGTAAGCACAACACGTCCATGTATGTCTGCTTGCCAGCTTGCGGTTTTGTAGGCTAACCTGTGTTCCCATTTGCTGCTAATGAGACCCTTCTCCAAATCATCAGCCACACCTAGGGCATACACAGAGACAGTGCAGAGAGAGAGGATGCATGCGTGTTTAATTGCCTTGATAGCTCTGGATGTACCTGGGTCTAGCTGTTCAGCTGCCATGTAGACCTTGTTCTTCTTGTTTGGTGTCTCCGCAAAGCACTTCATTGTCGAATGCTCCGTGACTGTTTCGCAGAACGTTACAACCGGATCGGCAACCTGGAAGACATAAGCAGGTTCGCCAAATGATACACCGTCTTCTTTCAGGTGTACCTTTATTTCCAGGTCTCCGTATAGTTTCCTGAGGTCGTGCAGCATGCAGTCCATTGCTATCTCGCCCGTGCCAACGATCACATGCTCGCCCGACTCCTCTACCTGAATGGCGCATTACTTGGGTTGTGTGTGTTGCCGGAGTGCGAGTCACCTTGGTTTTGGCCAGTGGGTATGACTTGTCGATCTTCCGCAGCCCCTCGAGCATCTTGGGCAAGTCGGAGGGATTCAGTGGCTCACACGCCACCTTGATAACACTGGCCAACAGACGGACGGCAAAGGGCGACAGCACCACAGATGCCTTCCACGCAACGAATGTCCTGGGTGATACGATACCTGCTGGTGTTGAACTTGAGGGGCGCGAATATTTCTGTTTCTTGGTCGTTGTCGATGTTGGTTATGGTCGATGTCTTGGTGATGGATGGGTCGACACCGCCGATCAGAACCCAGTTGCCCGCAGGCACGTGGCTCACCTGACACAACCCCAGAGACGGAAAGGGATTGCTCCAGTCAGACACATGGCGCCAACCGGAACGTCTTGTTACCTCTACTCTGTATCTCCCTTCGTATATCCAGAGAGCTGTGACCTCCCGCTCAGTCTTGTCCTCATCGTCGTCCAAACTGAACGCCTCACCCAACACCTGCATTGGGTGATGCAGTGCAATATCGGACGGCTTCCTCTTGATGAGTGTGTGTTCGCTTTGCGTAACCGCGCGGCTTCGTCCGTACCTTGACTCGTTGTCCCTTGTAGATTGTGCCGGACATGACCCGCCCCAGCACGTCAAACTGGCCGCAGTCAGGCCGGTGGTAGTTCTTGGTCGTGTGAATCATCAAATGACCATCAGTCGCGCAATCCTGCAATGGGACAGATGCGTGCATGTATAACACCGTGTTTCAGATGGCGTCTCGCGTTCTCCTGCCTTCATTTCAGCGGCGATAAGTCCTTTTTGGTCTCCCGTGTATATGTGCTCGACCTTCCGTCTGGCATTCTCCCGGGGGTTGGGCACGTGAGCCACGACCATATCCACAAACGCACTATCGTCACACACGATGCATCCAGGTCGGTCCGCGTGGATGCAATTTGTGCGTCTCTGCTGCCCTCACCTCGATGTCCCGAAGAATGATCGGGAGACCTTCTTGACGAGGGACCGCGTATCAAGAATGAAGTCATCCTTGCGAAGGAACACACCCAACTGGAGAGGTTAGATCACACACAACCAAGTCAATCCAGTGAGCCCCTCATTCCCTGTGCCTCTCCCTCTGTCACCTCTCTGAGCAGCGGTTCCAGCTCAGGCTGTTCTTCGGATGATGTGTGCGCGAAGATCTTGTAGAGGGGCTCCAGGATGAACTGCACGAAGGTGCGGGGCTGCCCGGGCCGGCTGGGCGGGGGACTGCGACGGAAGGTACGCGACTCAGGATCGAAATATACATCGCCCCACAGACATCTAGGTAGATGGGTACGCATGGCATTCCCACATGTCACCGCACCCTTTCTTTTCTCCCCCGGTGAGCTCACCTCGCGAAGAAGTCATGGTCGAGCGTCTCATCGCATGACTCGGCGTACATCTGCGCGAATGAGTGGACAGTGAAAGCGAACTGGTAGTAGCCCGACGCAAAGGCTACGGTGCCCTTGATGGGCGACACACGGATGGCGGGATGACCCAACATCGAACATGTAGACTCGAGAATGCTATTGACCTGCACACCCGACACTCAAAGGATCACAATGGATGAAGTACTATGGAGTATTGTTTCCTGGCTGACCTCTTCGATGGTGTGTCTGAGTTTGTGGTACGCATCGTTGGGCGGCAGTCTGAGTTCCATGATGAGCCTATCGATACAGTTGATGACAACCAGGATGGTGAGGTTCTCCTGGACCGCAAACTTCAGCAGCCGCTCCGTATTTGCCATCACGCCCTCAAGCGCATCGATCAGAATCACAGCCCCGTCGCTGATACGCATGGCCGCCGCGGCCTCGTCGGCGAAACAAACATGGCCTAAACAAAAGTATATCCCAGCAAGGGAAAGGAGGCCCGTCTATCCGGTCGTGTGTGAGTATGGTCCCCCTCGTTGTGCGCACCAGGCGTGTCGAGAATGTTGACGAGGTAGGACTTTTCCTGTGAGGTCTGGAGTATGAGTGACATCGGGACGGCCTTGATGGACAGTCCCCTCTCCTGCTCGTCCACCCTCGTGTCGGTGTAGCGGTACGACTTGCCCAACCTCCAGTCCTTCTCGTGGGTTTCTTGCACAAGCATGTCCATGAAGTGTGTCTTGCCGTGGTGCAGATGGCCCAGCAGGCAAATGTTCCGAATCAGCTCGCGCTTGTACATGAGGCCGCTCAGGAAGTCAAACGAGAACGTGGTCGACGGAAGATCCTTCTCTAGTAGGTCGAAGTTCTTGGTGCGGACGGGGGCAATGATGGGCTCAGTGAGTGGCTGGGTGTCTTCCTCCTGCACAAGGGTCTCCGCTCCGCCGTACACCTCGTCTGCGTCGGGGTAGAACTTCTTGTCTTCGAAGAGCACCACCGACCGATCCCCCTCGACGTCCTCCATCTGCATCTCCAGCGTATCCCCATCCCTCGCTCCAGCACCTCCCTCTGCATCCATCCCATCCTCATCCTCCATATGCGCCTGCGGCGAGAGAATGATATCTTCCTCGTCATCGTCCTCGTTCTCGTCAACGGGAGGCCCAATGTAATTCCCGAACGCATCATACAGTTCCGAAAGATCTGATGCCATTGTGCTCTGAAAGAACGCCGAAACAAAGACCCGCTGTCCACGAATTCGGCTTTTACCAGACTGAGATCGAACCCGCCTCGCGCTTTATCAGCGAGCTTGTATAAGAGAGAGCGGTTTCACGAAACGTCCTAAGCCCGAGAGCCTGGTCCAGTGTCACGCACAATCAAACGAACGACACGCAACAGGAATCACCCACGCACGCTCCACATGCACAGAGGAACCCAAGGAACACACTCACGATGCCTCCAGACCGAAACCCACGGCCGTCCGCTGAATACGAGTCGTTTGCTGGACTAAGTCGTAGATCTCAGAGATGCGCCACCCCGAGCCTCCCCCACGCCGCAGAGCCGTCCCCCCCCGGCGCCGGAAGCTTGTGTAGTGCTTTCCGCGAGCTTGTGTAGTGCTTTCCCCCTTGTTTTGTTACACCCCTAACCACTAACCGAGCAGGAGGACAAGCCCTCACTGCCGAGTACAAGGAGGCCAAGGAGGAAGAGCAATCAGAGCCACAAGCGGTCAAGTGGCTCCAAGGACAGCTCCGCCAAGTGACGTGCTGGAGCAACACGAGGCAAACGTGAAGGATACCTACGACGAAATTCCAACCCGTCTTCGCTACGCTCTCAGCCCAACGGGAGGATCGAGGCAATCACCTGGGACATCACCAAATCGGCCCTAGTCAACAACGGCAAGGTCAACGCGCGAAGGAGGTGCTCACGGCCAAAGCACTCAAGCACGCCTACATCAAGGTGGTGCCGGCGGCGTTCAAGCTGCCCATCAGCAAGAAGATCATCAAGCGCGACGTCACTCTGGAGACCGCCATGGGGAGGGTGTGCAAGGTCGAAGTGAGGTATCGCCGGGGCAAAGACAAGACGCGAGAATGAGCGTGGGTGCTGCTGCGGCGCCAATGGACGTCGGCGAGGACGCAGGGGCTGATAACGGTGAATCCATCCATTACAAGTACTGCCTCAACGGCCACCTCCACTGGGACTGCAAGCGACTGACTCACGACAAGAAGTTGTACGGCATCACGCTCTTCCCAAGCAGCCATCGCATGAAGCGCACTGCAGAGCTGCTCAAGAGCCACCTCGATGAGGTCGAGCGGAAGGAGAAGGCGCGTGTCATCACAACAACAAGGGCGAGAACAACAAGTACAGCAAGGGACTGGGTGTTGTGTGTGCATACGAGACGAACAGCGGAATGCTGACGACATAGACGCGATCTCTCATACCGGTACAGGGAGAAGAGGAGGAGCACACATACGTGCATGCTCTTTGAGGAGAGGCAGCACAGAGAGGTCCAGATACAGTTGGATGGCTGCAAGGTCTCAGAATCCTCGCATGATGTGGTGACGCCATCGCTTGGGAACGATCGACGCGCTGAGACGACCCTGCTGGTCTGGGAGAGAGCAGTGCGCAGGGGAGGGAGATCTGGTGAAGCCTGATCAGCCTCTGTCCACTTCCCATCGACTCGCAACTAAAGAGGGGTTACATCAGTTGTCCAGTGCTTTGCTGTGCTATGTGTGAAACTCAGAGCACTGGTTGATTCGGGCTGCAGTGAGCATATCTTTCCTCTTCTCATTTAATGCGAAGCGGACCGTTCGCATCGTGATTCTGTCTATGTGGGACGCATTGTGATGGCTGTTTAGAGGCACGTCTATTCTTCCGCCAGGTGCGCACAAACGCCACATGGATGGATGGATGGATGCCGCGCATGTCTGCACACACGCCTGCCTGTCTATCTCGCCTGTCTGTCCCTTTGCCACTGTGGGCCTCCCCACAGCCCAGTGTCCTTGTCAGTCGCCCTCTGTATGTAGTCCACGACGTGTGTCTATCCTGTGCCTGTGCCTGTGCGCATGCGTGTGATTGACTCTTGTTCTTGTGTATATACGCCACTTGCCTCCGTGATGGTATATCCATGGAGGTACATGTGGCTAGGGGAAGGAGAAGTAGAGGAGAAGACGGATATGCTCATAGACGCCAGTGTGTCTGTCGGTACGTGTTGTGTTGCCATTGCTTGTCGAAGCAGTGTGTCCGTCGGCCGATCGGCTAGGAAACGCAAGCATGCACCAGGGAGTAGTCAGTGGCATCAGGCTGCTTTTCTACACGAGGCAGCGTGTTTTCTGTATAGAGTGTCTGGCGGGGTTTGCACTTGTTCCGCGCTGATGGTGGTAGGCGCGCCTATGTAGGCGAGGAGACAATCAGTATAGGCGCCTGCGTAGGCGCATCTATGTGATCGGCAAGGCATGAAAGGAGACACCCAGAAATTTAATTCGTCATTGCAGAGTCAGTTGTGTCACTTTTGCTACGTCTCTCTCTGTTCTCTCTCTCTTTCTCTCTCTCTCTCTCTCTCTCCCCATCTCGTTCGCTACTGTTTGTGTCTGTAGTAGTAGGCGTTCTGGGCTGCTTTCATGGGCTGCTTCTGCGTTTTGTCCAGTGGCAGCAGCACGCACAGCCTCACCCGACAGACACAACAAGACATAGATGATTAGCCTTTCTAATTTGACCACAGGAATACCTCACAGACACCGATCGCTTCGTCGGCCTTCCTCTTTTAGCCATCGGGGGCGCCATCTTGCTTGGCGATCTTGGGCGCGGTCTGAGACACCATAGCAAATTCAAACGGCCGGACAATGGTGTTGCGAAATCCACGATCTTCTCTCACTTTCTCTCTCCGTGTGGATGTGTGTCTTACTTTGCCGTAGGCGAACGAGAACTCGCATGGAAAACCCATTCATTCATTCATTCATTCATTCATTCGAGCGTCCTCATGAACACACAAGGCATTCATTCGGACTTGCGGAAAAAGGACCCTTTCTTTTTTGCGTAGAAGGAAGAGACACTGCTTCGAAACCTTCAGACTTTGAGACATTCCTTTAGACGGATTTCGTAGATATCGGATTCTTCCGTGACGCAACACCTTGGAAACGCCCCACCGCACTTGTGGTCTCCTGACTACCGGCATTCTTGAGAAACGCATCCAGTGTGTGCAGTAGTCAGTGTGTGCACTGTCGTACAATGCGCTCATGTGAATGCACAGACCAGTATATCAACAGCGATAATGTAGTGTCTCTGTACAACCTATCAAGCCAATCTATCAACATGATGGGCTACTGCCAATCTATCAACATGATGGGCTACTATGAACACTCACTCACTCTCCCCCTCCCCCCTTCCTCTTGGGACGCTCACTATCATCTACGGCGGGCTGCTCTGCTGCTACCCTTGCCGACAAACGTGTAGTGCCTTGACTCCATGGCCCGCCGGTGTGCGATGGCCATCTGCTTGGCCTTCTCGAAGCCAAGCTCCTTGACGGAGAAGGTCTTGCCCTTCTTCTCGCCGGCCTCCTGCCATTCGGCCCGCCATGCATGGTTTCTCTGCATGTAGTTGACGCCCCTGACGCCGCTCTGGTGCTCAGCCGGCTTCCGCACAGACGCCCGCCCGCTACGCTCCATCTCGAGACGGTGCTCCTCAGCCAACACCTGACATACACACACATACATACAGGTGCAACATGACGCTGACATAACAGCATGAAGTTCAGCCGATTAAGTGGTTACCTTGGCCTTGTGGAAGCCGTGCTCACTAACGTAGAAGTTCTCGAACTTCGGCTTGCCGCCCTCGTGCCATGAAGCCACCCAGGCCTGGGTATTCTCGTGCCAGGAAACACCCGGCACATCAGACTGGTGTGCTGCAGCAAACCCACACACATGAGAACAGGTGCCGCCTTTCTGTCCCTCTCATTTGCAGTTGGGACGACAAGGATGGGCGTGGCGGTGGTGGTGGCAGAGGCGGCAGAGGTGGCAGAGGTGGCGGGCGTGGCGGCAGAGGTCGTGGGGGGGGGCGGTCGTACTTTGGCGGCGACGGGGGGCGCCCGCTCACAACACTCGACCTGCAGCGCAGAATGGCCCACACGAAGAAGTTGTTCCAGAGCCCTTGAAGATCGAAATATAGTGGTGGGGGATAGAGTAGGACAGCCACAGATGTAGATAGTAGAGAGAGGGAGAGGGAGGTGTGAGACCCACGAGAGTACACAACCGACAAAGATGGGCTTGGATTACGTTGCTTGTTAGATAGTTGAGAAGGGATGGATGGATGGATGGATTGGGGGCTTGGCAAGAGGGAGATAGATGGATCTGACTGAGTAGATGGCAGGAATCGTTGTTGAGAATACGGACATGGAAAGAGTTGAATATACAGTCGAATGCAATGACACTGGACAAAAGAATCAATCTGGAGTCAGGAGACAGGAGATACTTGGACAGTCGAGGAAACATGATGAAATATAGTCATATCCGAAGGGGAGGGGGTGTGGCCTAGGCAGGTCAGTCAATCTGAGTGATTCATGTATGGTGGAGCGAGGGATGCGCGAAGCGCAGACCGAAGCGGAGGAGTTGAGTCAATCGCTGGCTAGTCGTTGCTCGGCTCGGCCCTTCGGGCCTCGCCTTCGCATCGTTACGGTGATCATTGTTGTCATCACGGGCCGAAACGTTTTCCACGCACAATGACGAATTGGATGTGGTTGTGGTGAATTTCATCAATGATCCCGTTCGATCGCTGACCCACTTACGCGTCTGACCCGCTTATACGTACTACAGAGCTGACCCACTTATTTTCCAGCAACTTTTTGAGTGGTTTCTCGCTGTGAATGAATCACAGGAGCCTCTCAGAAGCCCGTTGACTTTCCTTCGCTCAATGTCACTCAAAACGTCGAGAAAACGTCGATTGTCTCATTCAATCAGAAAGAAAACATCTTGTGTCTTATGAAGAACCTTAGCCTTTGAGACATTCCGCGAGTGTCACAAACTTATATCCTTTTCCACTCACAAGCTTGATGATTTCCGGGAGTGCGTCAATGGATTTCGTCTTCACCAGAGGGGATGAGTCATGCAGCAAGCAAATCTGCGATGGCGTTGTCCGTTCAGCTTCAGAGAGTCTAGACTCCACTGTGACACGACCTTTTTTTGGCTTCACATCCAAGCAGGCGGACCAGCCGACAACTGTCAATTTGTATTCAGCGGCTATTGGAATCAAATTGCCAACGTCCCCACTGAAAGGACATATAGAGTTTTTACTTTTGGCTAAAACAAGAGGTCGTGAGCTTACTATGGCGCTCGCATAAACCGGCTCCCATGTCCCAGTTGCTCATGGAAAATTTGCTCGGTCCGCTCGATTTCATGCCGGATCTCATCATCGCTCAACTTGCTCAAATGGGGGTGGTCCCATGAGTGGTTCTCGATCAAATGTCCTTCCATGACGCAGGAAGAAATGAATGCACTCATCGTATGTTGGTTTCCTTGGTCTGTTACCCTCCTTTTCGGCGCGCTTCAGCAGCGCAACTGATTCAGGGTCACGGAGCTTGTCTCCGATGACGAACAATGTCGCCGGTACGTGATGTTCTTTTAATACATCCAACATCCGCTCGAAGTTGTCGGTTGGTGCGTCGTCAAATGTCAACGCAAAAAGGCCTGTACAAAACGCGGGCATTCCGTACTCGTTTCGTTTCTGGTCGTCAATAAACCTGGTTGGGTGCAATTTGTCAGCGCCTTCCGTGAAGCGGTGAAACTGGTTTGCAGGTGGCGGGACACATTCTTGCCAGCTTCTAGTTCCAGAAAAGGCTCTGACGCGCGCATGAATCGCCCTGCGGACAATCCAGCAAACCACACCAGAAGAAGCACGAGCACTGCCTGTGCCATCCCGGAGGAGAAATTCATGGCGGACAGTTCATATTATTTACGATCCGTTTTCCGATGGACACTGACGCGTCTGTGGGTCTGTCGGGTAACTTCCGAAGGATGAGAGTCCATGTATTCTCTCACTGAGCCACCGATTGGGAATCTTTTGTACTGGCGCAAGTGAGAATCGGAATTAGGAAGGGGGATAAATAGACATCACTTTACATATAAGAATCTTCGGGCATGTCTCTACGTGCCTGCAATTGCGTGCCTGTGAGTGGCGGGTTCTCGGGAAATTTCTCCAGCGATCCATTTATCTCCGTAATCACCCCGCTTCCAACCCAGGGGGATCTAAGCAGGGATCTCGGCAGATTGAATGATTGTACCATCAATGGGGTCGACAAGAACGACAAAAACACAAATCATCTGCGCTTCTTCTCTGACTGTCACGATAATTCTTCGGCCGCAAGGGAGCCCGCAACGCTGGCCGCCGCCGCGAGACCACCGACAAGAGAAGGAAGACCATTGTTGGGGACGCAGGTGAGCAACAGAGATGGACGGAAACGGGTAACCTGTGTTTGTCTGTGATTGTACTGCAGAGCACCAGTCTGATGTGACCGGTGTTCGGTGGCACCAGGAGTCGGAGTCCTGGGTGGCTACATGGCAGGAGGACCACAAGCCGCAGCGCAAGTACTTCTGCGTAGCACGGCTTCGACGAGGCCAAGGTAACCACATAATCGAATGCTCCCTCTTGTCAGCCTCATGAATGCATCTGTATGTATGTGTGTGCATGTCAGGCGATGGCTGGGCGGCACCGTGCCGAGATGGAGCGTAGCGGGAGGGCGACTGTGCAGAGGGGCTGAGCGACAGAGCGGCGTCGCGGGCGTCAACTATGACAAGACCAAGAACAGATGGCTGGCCCAATGGCAGGAGAACGGCCAGCGAAAGAGCAGGTCGTTTCCTATCGATGAGGGCGAGGCACCCCGACAGCGACGAGAAGGCCAAGCAGGAGGCCATCGCTCATCGGCGGGCCATGGTGCACACGTTGTCGGCAAGGGAGCAAGAAGAGGAGGGGGAGGGGGAGGGGGAGAAGGAGGGAGATTGCCCATCATGTTGATAGATTGGGTCGATAGGGTGTACAGAAACACTACATTATCGCTGCTGATATACGGGTCTGTGCATTCACATTATTGACCACTTGTGCTTGAGTCAACTGGTCCCGAGGAAGGGAGGTACGAGCTATAAGCTTCCAGGCACCCGACACCGGCACCCTGGAATGAAAGGAGGGACATGATCAAATTTATTTGCATATATGACGGCCACGCGACAAACGTTGTACCTTTCGCAGCTTGGCAAGGGCGACCTCGACATCATCGGTCGGCCAAGACTCGGCTGGTCTTTTTCTCGTGCTTCTTTCGTTGAGTGCCTCCACGAATATGACATAAAATGGGGCATTCACAGGACCGAACGCGTCAGACACCTGCTCACACAACGCACTAAGAGTCCACATCCGGCCTCAAGTGTGCGTCTATTTGCTGCGTACGGGTCCGAGAATGGTTTGATCTTCCAGACACAGGAAGGACCCCAGATCCAAAGCACGGCTCTCCTTTAAGCACAAACAATAACGATATTTCGTGTCGTATGACTTGTGTATTGTACTCCCTCACCTTGTTGGCCCGAACGATGACCATGTTGTCGACAACAGCATGGATCTCGCCGATGATTACAACACGGTAGCACGACTGTGGCATACCGGCATACGCACTGGCCACGGCCAAGTCACCAGTCAATCTATCCACATCGCTCTGGGCGGCCGGAGGGGGAGGCAGTGCAGTCACAGGCATTGGAAACTTGACCGTCTGCAGCCTGAGATGGTAGCTGAGCTCGCTGGTTCGAATCGCCGGCTCGTATCGATGTTTGCCGCGCCAATGTCTTGATGGTGTCGAGTCATCCATCGTTGACTCCATGTGCTGCAGCTTTTTGGTGATGTCCATGTCATAGTCCTCCTGCATCCGACATCGATCACTAGGCAACGGCAGATGGCTGGAAGCACGACGGGCAGGGTGCTGATCTTGATCATTGTTATCGTCTTCATTCTCCTTCAACCGAGTAAGCAGGATCAAAATGACTGAGCGAAGAAGCACGGAGTACTTTTCCTCACCGTCCAGTCAAACTCGTGCACAACATCCCGCAGCCGTTTCCACGCCGCAACGCTCCTCGCACCGTCGCCACCATTGTCCCTCCTGCGTGTTTCCGGCAGCGCCACCGTCAAGCTCCTTCCCAACCGTAAAGTGTGGATCGATTCGCAAGTATCCATATCAGCGGGAAGACTCGACTGCTTGGGAGGAGGGGGTACAGCTGTAGCGTCTTGTTGATTCAGGCGACTGTCATCATCAGCATCAATCGGGCACTGGTCGAGCCGACAAAGAGCCGCCTCAACCCGGTCATCGTCGACGCAGCGAACATCACTGGAAGGACAAAACGACCAAGCGGGGGTACACGCTGCCATATGTTGTCACGCGAACCTGAGCAGGTGTGCCAGTTTCTGCAAGGTGCCCTGCGCTGCGGTCTGCTGCAGACGATGAGACTCTGACTGCACTCAAGACCATCCGCAGATACACAAGCATTTCCCCACAAACTTCCTTCCTTACCTGTGCGATTCTCGCGGCGACGAGCAAGTCATCATACTCCGTCTCGCCATCAATGACCAGATCACCGACCACGTCGCTTGAGTTGACCTCCTCCATGATGCTGTCGGCGAGGTGCCCGGTGGTCGTTAATTTTTGCCCACGACGAGGTGCGGCCGATGTCCGCGGCTTCCGCGAATTGGGCTAATGCCCAGTTGCGTCTTTATCTTTATGGCTTCTTGCGTTTTGTTTCCGCGAATTGAGCTAGTGCCCAATTCCGCGAATTTGCCGGGGTCGCCCTCGCCGGTCAGGCACATGCGCAATGGCGCGATGGATTTGTTGTCCCTCAGGTCTTTGTAGTGGTTCAGCAAGTGGCTGCAGATGATTCGGGACGCCCGAATCTGCTCTTCGTTCAATTGGTAACTGCTCGCCCAGTCTCAGGCGGCTTGAATGCAGACGCCGGCTGCGCCAGCAGTCGAGTGAGGCTGGCAGCATCCATCGAGTGGCCACCCTGTGTGGAGAGATTCGACTCGAAGAGAAGCTACTCAGGAGGCTTGCTTCATCTGACGTGGCGCGGCTGTGGCCGATTTCATTTACC